ATAATGTATCTTTCCCAATTCTAAGGTCTGAATGTTGTTACGAATGAGCATGACAATACTATGTGCAAGTCTACGTGGTGTGCGACCATGAATGTCACATATTCAGTGTCTTCATCGGATGTCTTGGTTTAGTGCATGATTCATGCATCCTTTGATTTCTCTCCTTTCTATCGTATAGCACATGAGGGCCGTGGTGTTTTTGACGCAGGGTCTGTCATGTTGAGGGATGGACAAAATGTGGGGCGCTATTTATTGGGCGATGTGGGGTATCCAATGCTGTTGTGGATACTGATTCCTGTTGGCAACAAGGAAGGCGGGAGGACGCCTGTTGAAGTCTTGTACTATGAATGCTACACGTCTGCAAGCTCATTGTCGTGTCAAGTACCCTTATAAGGGTATTTGGCGTGCATTTTCCCGGCCACGTACGACAAGACCTCGTTTATAGTTACGACATTTTGTATAATCGGGGCACGACTCTGGTATGGGTTTGGTGAGATTGGATCAGAAGAGGGTCAACGTATGAATGTCAATGAGGAACACCCCGGGACTTATAGGGGAGGACCTTAATGCAGGTGGCAGGCCGCGCACACACGAGGTGAAGTTGAATTGCCGCTTTAATAGACGACGCACACAGTATACCTGGTGATAAAAATACAACCTTTTGAGATGTGTGTGGCGTCAAAGGTCGACGACGACATAACCTTTTGGCAGGATGGCCAGCGTGTCGGTAGTTGAAGTATAGCCTCGAGGCATTGCATGAGCGGTGCGAAAGTTCGCCGCCCGTGGGTTCGGTCAATAGGGTAAGGTGTGGTCTAGATTGGGGTTGGTAGGCCTGCCATAATGCAAGTAAGATTCATCAGGGATCTTGCGCCCAATCAGTCCAAGTTTGGGCTTAGCCTTATTGGTTACAACATTGGACTTTCAGGCTGTAGGTACGGGGATTGAGGGCAGCGGCCGACGATAGAGGAGCAATGGAGCGTTAAGGAGGACACCGAGGGGTTGAGGGTCCTACGAGACCTTCCCCTTTGGTTTTGCTGTCGGTCCCGACCGCGGGCCCAATTGGCAGGACCGAGAGGGTACCAACGAGTGTCCTGCTATTCCCTCCTTCCCAATTTTCTTTTTATTATTTATTTTATTATTATTTATCTTATCTTCGAGATCGGGCCCGGTATCAATCCCGAGACTGGCAAAGGTATCGTGGCCTAGTTCGATTGATACTCTCTCGAACTGTTGGAATACGGATCCAAGCGTGAACCCAGATGAGACCAGATGAACAAAATTCGTAAATTACTTGGGGCCAGCCAATTCGAAGATAACATTGCGGGACCTGTAGTGACACTAACAGAGGTTTAGCACAATTGGTATACTTACGAACAATTGAAATACAGGTCCGCGTTCGATCTCCACTGGAAGCAAATGAGTAAGATACTGGAGCTCTGAATTGGTTGGGGCTGGTATCAATCATAAGGCCAACAACAAAACCGGTGTATCTACCTGGCTATTCGGAAGTGAGTGTAGCAGTCCGAGCGGATTGGCAGGGGCATCATCCAATGTTCCAACGAAAGATTCATTCTTCGATTGTAGGGGGAATCGCCATGCTGATTAAAATCGATGTGCTAATCGAGGTTGCTATGTTGTTCGAAGTCGCTCTCAGCTTCCTCTAAAGTCCATCATGTTCGTTGTGATTATTGTCGTTACTGATATAGTCATTGTTACCCGTAGTCATCTTCCTCAAGGTCGTGGTAGCATTCATCAGGCGAATGCATCTGACCATGTTCTAAAGGAAGATCAATCCTCATTTGCATAGCGACGTTAAAGGATACCAACGACAATAAGGATGAGGAGGTAGAAACGATGGAGAGTAGAGAGAGAGAAGTAAAGGAGGAAAGAAAGGATAAGAAGAGGAACAAGGAGGTAGAAACGATAGGGAGTAGGGAGAGAGAAGTAAAGAAGGAAAGAGAGGAAGACGCTTCAAGTTAAGGACAATCTATCTTTCCGTGTTGTACCGGAGGATTCATTCTCGTTTAGCACATCTCCGCACACCTTCACTCGTCATCGTGATCGTCATAGTCGTCTTGGCCTTGCTCTTCATAATAACGAGTGCCATCGTGCTCCCCGAGGTGGTTGGTGTCATAATGATCATGGTCGTATGCGGCTTGTCACCTTCGTGTGCGTCATCCTAATCATGGTCATCATCTCCGTCCGGGTGCAGCTCGTTCGAGGGCGCCATCCTCGTTCCTAACCATGATGCTCGCTCGTCCTCATCGGTTGTGATTAGGTGTGGTACGTGGTTTTCAATGCAGTTGACTGAACCTGATCGTGCTTACAACCAGATGTCTTTGATTTGTTAAGGACCGTAAGACGTACGCGAGAGTGAGAAATAAAAAGTGGACAGGGAAAGGGATAAGGTTGAGAAGAGAAAGGAGGGAAAGTGGAGGTAGAGAAAGACAAAAGGGGGCTAGAGTGCTTACCTTGTCTTGGTAAGCCTTGTGGCCCTGTTTCGTTGCCCCTGGTCTTTATCTTTAGAGGAGGAAGTTACTATCTTCTTTTTCAAACAGCCATGACTCTCTTCTTCGTAGTTATGGTTGCCACCTCTCTGGCAGCTGCAACGGTCTTTTTTGTTGCCTTCACAGACGCGGGGTGTGTTCGTGGTCACTGTGCTGCTCTTATTCGTTGTCACGATCGTATTGTTGTGATTGGAGGTCCCGTTGATTACTGGGGATGGCATTGCCACCCCGAGTTGCTCTTCATGATCGGGGTCAGTATCACCCATGCCTGCTCCTTTAAGGGGAGTGCGTGTGTGCGCACAAGAGGGAGAGAGAGAGAGGGACGTACTAGTCTGTCGCCAAAACCTCCATTAAGGTGCCCCTACTGACCATGTTGCTCGTCGTCCCAGTTTTGACGGTGCTCCATAATGCTCGTCCTCGTGGTGGTATACAATGGGATCGTCGGAATAGTCTTCATCGAGGCGCTCGTAGTGGTGATTGTGCATATTTGGGAGCTTCTGTAATCCCGACCTTGCTCAGCGTCTGGACCTTGACACGAAAGTTGTGCGGCTTGGCGATCCCTTTGCATCTCGTATTCTCTCGTCAAAGCTTAGATTGGTGGAATTGATGTTCGTCATCGTGTTTGTCGTAGTAGCTATGGTTGTCATCTTTGTCTCATTGCTCTTCCTCATGGTGTCAAAGTGCCCTTCTATGTAGTGTTGATCGTTGTGGCTCTGACCGAGGTGATGTTTGAGACCGTGACGGCCACCATCCTCTTCGCTTAGACCAGTAGGCGTGCCCCTGATCAGGACGCAACCTCGGTGCAGGTACATGAGAGAGAGAGAGAGAGAGAGAGAGAGAGAGAGAGAGAGAGAGAGAGAGAGAGAGAGAGAGAGAGAGAGAGAGAGAGAGAGGACAAGTCGGGGTGTGAGGCTGTTGCGCTTACTAGGTAGGCATGAACAGGGATATGATAATGTATCTTTCCCAATTCTAAGGGAAAATCCACTCCTATTTAGCACATTTGGTGAGCAGTGGAGCAAAACCTATAAGTCACGACAACCCATTGCCGCCACGACTATTATTATGACCCCGACAGTGTTCGACGTTAGGATCTCTTTCATTGTGATTATCACGCTGCTGGTAGTACTCTTAGCAGATTGTTGCTGGTTCTCAAGTGCTGCAACTATTAACAGTTCTCGGAACGTAGAGCAGATATTGAATCGTGCAGGAGTATGCAGCAACGTATCTCACCTTGTTGTAACAAATGGTCGTGGTCCCCTGGCCTGCTCAGATAGTTGGTTGGTCAATGGAGAACTGTTGTTGGGTTTCTTCCAAATGACAAACGCGGTTGCTATGCGACTAGGAGTATGGTTGTTATGTATCGTCGACCATTACTGCAGCAGTATGTCCGAACAAATTGCATCTTGCTTTGTTCTCGTTCGGGTTCTTGCCATTAGTGTCGTCATCGTGAACGTGGTCGGCAATGGTCACTTAAGCGTGACCGGCCGGTCATTTGGCCCTGCATCTGTGAACGGGCAGGCCACGAAAGAGCGGTGTTTTTTTTTTTTTTTTTTTTTTTTTTTTTTTTTTTTTGTCGCCTGGGCTCACCCCACTGCAGTCGCCTTAAACCCCACAACCTGATGACATTTTAAAAAAAAATCAAAATGATCGACAAAATAACAAAAAAAATATTTATTTTGGCTCGTTGCATTTTTTTTTCGTTTTTAATAAAAAAATATTATTTGTGAAAAACAAATAAANTCTCTCTCTCTCTCTCTCTCTCTCTCTCTCTCTCTCTCTCTCTCTCTCTCTCTCTCTCTCTCTCTCTCTCTGTGTGTGTGTGTGTGTGTGTGTAAGAATGGATATGGGTGTGTGTACATAGTGCAGGTGTACAAGCCCGAGCGTCTATACCCTGCGACTGGATATGGGGTGTGTGCGTAGATATGGGTGTATGTCTGTTTGGTGCGCAAGCGCGAGCGTCTATCCCTCCCGCGCAACCGCAGGTCCTAGGTGTGCAATTCATTCATGCCCTTGCGGTTCACCGCTCACCACTGATCGAGACCGAAGCGCTACGACTTCCGCTCACCCTTTCCCCCTCCATCGGCGCGCACCATTTCTCTTTCTTTCCGCTTTTCATTCCGCTGCGTGCAGCCACCTTTTACCCCTCCCGCTCCGTTTTAATCATCGACTTTCGCCCCGCTCCGTTCCGTTAACCATCAACTTCGCTGCCGTAACTCCCGCTCCGTTCCGTTAACCATCGACACCGCGACACTATTCTTGCTATGAGAGCCAGCGCAGCGTACATGCCGGCTTTCTGCTGAGGCTGCCGCAGAGCCGACTGAACAGAGCGGAAATAGAGGATACAGGATGTAGGAGGGAGCAGTAAAAGCAAATCACTTGAGCGGAACAAAGAGGTCGGTGATATTCACACACATTGAGATGACCGGGAAAAACGGGCACGTGTGCCACGTCCACAGACATGTATGGGGCAACATGACGTGCACACTCACTCACCTCGAAGCGGCCTCGTTGTCGACTCTCGATCGGTAGTCCTCCGGCTGCCCTCCGTCTCTCTCTCTCTCTCTCTCTCTCTCTCTCTCTCTCTCTCTCTCACACACACACACACACAAACACAAACACACACACACACACAAAGACAAACACACACACAAAGACAAACACACACTACATCTATCTCTCTATCATGTGTAGTATGAGCGGATGCGTTTAGATGAGTTCCTGCGCACCGACTGCCCCCTTGACCCTTGGCAATGTCTACAACTTCGATCCTAGCAGTCGACAGATGAAGCTGAGCACCAGATTATACCCCCCCACCAGCATTCCCAACACCCGGAGAAAGGCGTTGTCCGGTAAGGAATATTAAAAGACGATAGAGCATTATTCATCTCTTTCCTCTTCCTCTCTTTTCCTTTACCTCTGTCCACTGTCCAGGCCCCCGTCCCGCGCCGTCTCTCCCGGCCCGTCCGCCGCTACCGCGAACACACACCCCTCTTTCTCTGGGACAGGAAGAGCGCCCGCCTCAGGGGCGCGACAATCCTGGAAGACAGAAGAGCAAGCGAGGCACACAATGCCCTGCACAATGGCCCGCACGGAGAGAGAGCAAGAGGGGGGGAGAAGAGAGAGGGACAGAGACACAGAGAGAGAGAGAGAGAGAGAGAGAGAGAGAGAGAGAGAGAGAGGGAGAGAGAGGAGCAAAGAGCGGACGGAGAGAGAGAGAGAGGCAACTCTGGCAGGTGGCCGTCAGGTGGTGATTGTAAGACAGTAGGGTCCCCCTGCGGTCGTTTGCTGCGCTCGAGGATTACAGCGCAGCCCCCTGCTCTCTGTTGCCGGCCTGCACGAACACGACACTCCCTCACACCCTGGACCCTTGGCCACGGAATTTACCTCTCTGCATTTCTGATCCATATTTAGCATTGAGATTCTGAGATGTCATTCATCCTCTCCTTACGAACCCGGCCTCCACCACTGTCAGTCCCGTCTGACCTCTCCGGACAGGCCATTAGGGTCGTCTCAGATCCCCCCTAGGGTCCTTCTCGATATCCCCGCCCCCCCCCCCTCTGTTCCACTCCCCCCTTCCCCTCTCATCAACCTTCCGCCTACCCGCCAGCCAACCACGGTCAAATCTTGGATTGGATTCATGCATGAGAACCGCAAAAACCTCACTCTTGCATTTCTTCTCCACCCCGCCCTTTCCGGACGCCACCTCTCTCTCTCTCTCTCTCTCTCTCTCTCTCTCTCTCTCTCTCTCTGTGTGTGTGTGTGTGTGTGTGTGTGTGTGTGTGTGTGTGTGTGGGAATGGGAACACTAGCTTCAGCTGAGACGGACACATCGCCCAGCCAACGCCAAAGCGCGGACCACTTCAGGCCCTAGTTGCACTACTCGCCATCCGCCAAGATTTCGAATGCATCTGGACAAAATGATGTCCACATGCAATCAAAATGTTGGCGGATGGCGAGCAGTACGACGAGGCCGTCTCGGCTGCGAGCTCCAGGGTTCCAGAGACCCATCCCCCTTCGACTCCACAGAAGAGGATGGTCCTCAAACGGCTAAAAAAAAAAAAAAAAGKAAAAAAAAAAAAAAGGGAGCAGGACGGTCCCAAGTTATCCACCCCGTCGAACCCGGGCCTAGTCCAGCACAGCGCGATCTTTACGGAAGCCGAGACGAGAAGCGGAGAGAGTTCTGCCCGGCGGTAGTGCGCTGCGGACGAGATCGGGCGGGGAGAGTCGGAGACCTGCTGCGCAACGCTGCCAACGAAAATCCGCATCGCGGAGCGCGGAGAAACTGCGCTGGTTATTATTACCTAATTTAATCTTCGGATTCCGTCGGGATTCGAACTCGTGCGCTGTTCGCCGACTGGGCTCGACGGCGTGGAACGCGAAGAGATGGTCCTTTTCTTTTCTTTTTCCTTTTTTTTTTTTTTTTTTTTTTTTCGTTTTTTTTTTTTTTTTTTTTTTTTTTTCGTCTTTTTCCTTTTTCGATGAGATAGATGGTCCATTCCGTTCTCTGGTTCCAGAAGACGAAGGCCCACGCCAGCCTGCCAATATGCTTCCGCAGACAGGTACCCGGGGCAAGGTCCCCCCACTTGCGCAAATTAGGAGTTCGGGCCGTTGATCTTCGCTATCTACGGTCAGTATCTCATAATTCGTGCAAGTGGGACCTAGCCCCCGAGGAGAAGAAAACAACAAGGACAACCAGCCGATTTTCGCTCTTTTCTCGATTTACGAGTGTCATGCTTGAAAGCGCAGGGGCCATGCTAATCTTCTCTCTCTGTGTATCGTTCCAATTTTACAGATGTCGCGAAGGACATTTTCGCTGTTTTCAGTTCAGCTTTGCCAGCCTATCACATGTCACATATCGAACCTCATGACCCCACTACGGGGAAAACGAAGCAACCCAAGCCCCGAGCTTCCCCTCTGGATTCTCCCGCAAGGAATCCACCGATCAGCCCACCTGAGGCACGATGTCCTGACGGCACAACCGAACTTGGACATCGATTGGACCTCTGTGCATTCGGTCAGCCCCAATTCGGTCGAAAAAGAAAAAGAAAAAGAAAAAGAGAAAAAGTTCATTTTGTGGGTATGTATGCCCGCAGGGTTTTTTTTTGTTTTTTTATGCCCGCAGTTTTGTTTTTCTTCTTTTTTTTCTTTTTTTTTTCCCAATTCAATTCAATTACCTGTCGAATCTGCTCTTGCGCTGCGCACCCCTGCCAATTATGTTGGCGGTGTGGGACCCATTTCTTCAATGTCAAGGTACCTTCTGTTCACACTGTGAACGGAATTACCCACCGCCATTTCGACTTCTACTACCAGCACTGCTACCTTAAATGCATCCCATCGCATTTACGGCCAGAGACAGCGATGAACCTGACCTCATTTACGTCCGGAAACCGAAAAATGTAAAAAGGTCCTGCCTGCTCTGAGTATGTGAGTTTGCCCTACGGTAGGTAGCGCGAAGTCGAGCGAAGCCACATACCATTACCGTACGTACGTGTGCGCGCCCGCCTCACGGCACGAACGAAACTGAGACGAAAAAAAAAAAAAAAAAAAAAAAAAAGAGAGAACGAAAATGAGAACGAATTTCTCTTCCGCTTCATTTTCTGAGCGGGAAGGGCGGTTGAAGGAACGCGCGCCAGAAAAGGGGGACGTCTCCCATCCCTTGGAGCGGAATTGGGCAGAAAACACGTAGACCTCAGGGCATGCTCACGCTAGCACTTTCCAAAACGCATCACACCGCAATTTCGGCCACATCTGTATGCATCTGGCCGCAATTCCGTCCACAAATAAGTAAGAAGTCCTTGTGTGAGTATGCCCTCAGTTCCATTGCACCCACGGTCCTCTCTGCAGGTGTGTTTCCTTAGCGGGGAAAAAAAAAAAAAAAAAAAGCACAAAGTAGACCTTTTTTTTCTACCGGGCCTAGGTCCCACTTGCACGAATTACGAGATACTGACCGTAGATAGCAAACATCAACGGCCCAAATCTGCTAATCGCCGCAAGTGGGACCTTGGCCCCGGCCTACCTACGCTCTGTTTCCCTGAGCCCTGCGCCCTGAGCCCTGAGCCATAAGCCATCTTCCCGCCGTGAATCGGCGTGGATAGATGGAATCGACGGCCAGAATGAGGACAATGAGCATTACGAGTAACGTATGTTTTTTTTTTTTTTTTTTTCCGAGAAAGTAACGTATGTTCTTCGGTGCTCTCCTTCCTTTTCTCCGTTCGTTAGCGGAACAGCAGCCCCCATTGCCAAGCAGGTCCGCTTAAGGGCCAGATCCGACTAGCCCCCTTTTTGTTCATTTCTGACCGTTGATCTTCGCAATCGAGGGTGGAAAATGAATAATCCAGGGTAGTGGGATCTGACCCTAACCGTCTGCATTCTCGCTACCGGTGGTCCCTGGTGGTTCCTCGGTAGAGAGCTTCCAACGTATAAAACTCCGCGCATAGCCCAAGGAAAGTCCTAGGCCATACACCAAGAATTTTGAGACCGAATCTGGCTGGGATCAATACCCGATGCATTCAGAGCAGACATAGGGGTATGCCGTATGGTGTGGTGCGCAAGACATTCTGTAGAAGGTTGTCACGGACTTCTGCAGCAATCGGAGCGCCTAAGGTTTCGCTGCTCCGGGGCAAGGTCCCACTTGCGCAAATGAGGAGATTTGGGCCGTTGATCTTTTTTATATCTACGGTCAGTATCTCTTAGTTCGTGCAAGGGGGACCTAGCCGCCGAGCGCCACTGGTGCTATGTTTTTTGTGCGAAGTCGGCATGAATCCACCCAACAGCCAACTGCGGCGACTACGTTCACAGAGTTACCGTGAGGGTTGCGCCTTTGCGCCAAGGCGCCGTCGCCATGTGCTTTAGGTGGTTTGTCGAACCCCTCAGAAAAGCCTCCATTACTCGCTTTCTCCTACCCTATTTTATGTGAAGGAAAGACTACATCAATGAGCCTCTCCCTCCTTCACTCACCTCTCAATGGGATCTCAAACCCGAAAGGAAGGCGCTTGATCGCATCTACTTCAAGGTTGTTTCACGGCAAGGATCATAGCGCCGTGGTTACAGGGCTCCGTGCATAAGGATATTATGTTTACCCCTACCTTTATTGATATGTTCACGACGCCCTGGATGGGATCTCAAACCCAAAACTTGAAGGAAGGGGCTGGAGCCAGACGCAGAAAGCAGACAGAACTGAATGCCGTGGAGAACACCCGGTCCGAAGTTGTGCCAGGAGGTCCATGAGCTGTGCTGCCTAAGGGCAAGCTTCGCATAGCCTCGTGGAATGTGTCCGGCCTTTGTAATACAGGAAACAAACACAAGCGTGATAGGGTTAAGTCATGGTCAGATAAAGTGCAAATCCTTTTCAGCAATCAAAAGTTGATGAATGTCGTAGAGGCCCTCAGTTATGGGCTCCTGTCAGAGGTGAATCCAGGGGTTTAGAGACAAGGAGAGCCACAGGCATAATAATCCATAAGGACCTGAAACCATACTTTTTGTTTTTAACTTCGAAGCGGGGGTGATTCACTGCCTCCTCCCGAGGTCGGAAGGGTTGAGGTACTCTTCGATTCAACCTTCCTGTTAGGAAGGGAGTAGTGGCTGCCATGTTATGGGGGTCTTCCAATCCGAGGTTAGTGTTTCAAGTGACTGCCTCAGCTTACTTCCTCTTGTCGGGGGTGCAAGGGTAGACAGTATAACCATTATTTTGCTCACATAGCCCACATAAAGATATTGGGACACCAGACCCGCTTTCCAGCGGGTGATGCTCCCCATGGACAAGTCCCAGCTCAGGGGAATGCTCTTATCACCTCCTAAAATGGATATTCCCCCTGGGAGAAGGAAAAAAGAAACAAACGAAAAAAAAGTGTAGATGGTAATTGCCATTGGTGGTGCACGTAGGGATCTTGATAGGATGAATGACGCACTGGGCTTAGAGGTGGACCCCATAGGAAAAAGTCCGGAAAA